GTCTTTGTTTAGTGTTGGTCAGCGTCAGTTAGTGTGTCTTGCTCGTGCTTTACTTCGTAAGACAAAAATATTAGTACTTGATGAGGCGACAGCTGCAGTTGATCTAGAAACTGATGATCTAATTCAGAAAACCATACGTAAAGAGTTTGCTGGTTGTACTGTACTGACTATAGCTCACAGACTGAACACTATCATGGACTATGACAAGTAAGGAATTCATATTTAGTTATTAGTATTATTATTTTCACTCAATAGGATAATGGTACTTGATGCTGGTCGTATTTCAGAGTTTGATAGTCCTAATGTATTGCTGGAGCGTCGTGGCCTGTTCTATGGGATGGCTAAAGATGCTGGTCTTGCCTAACTTTATTTTAAAGGATTTTTTTCTTATTTTAACATGTGCGTGTCTTCCTAATATATAACTTATGTTTAGAATATTATTAGCAGTGTTATTTTTATTAGATCAAAATATGTAGCTATGCATGACAGAAAAAATATATACATAAGTTACAGCCTGCAGCTCAAATAATGATAAAGTATACAAAACTGACTGGAGCAAAGTGAATATAATTTCTAGTGGCTCTGTAATGCGGGTAATGTCTGGTTTTTCTTCTTCCTCTTCTTGGTTTGGGGAGAGGCAATGGAAACGGCTTTCCTATTTTTATAAGAGGAAGGGGTAGAGATAGAGCCATTTCTACTGTCATGTTTTCGTCTTCTGGGAATTCAAAGATATCCTTTTTGTCTTTAGTGTATTCTTCATCATTATCAAGCTGCTCTGCTGTTTTGGTCCAAGTCTTTCTCCTCTTTGACTTCAAGGGTTTTCCCATTTTTCGTAAGGCATACTCATCTGAAAGTGTTGGTTGATCCAGGTATCTCCCTGGATTTCTTCCTCTCTTACTCTTCTTGTTACTCATCTACAGTAAACTGTGACAGGAAGTGATTGTTTACATGCAAAAGTAGATGATCTAAATAAATTAATTTTTAACGACCTGGGGGCGAAGCCCCCAGGTCGTTCCTATAATTGAATTCACCGTCGCGCTATGTATATATATATATATATATATATATATATATATATATATATATATATATATATATATATATATATATATATATATATATATATATATATATATATATATACATATATATATATATATATATATATATATATATATATATATATATATATATATATATAGATATATATATATATATATATATA